TACAGTATGGCTGTCTGTGGCCGGTTTGCTGGGCTGACTCTGTGGATGATTGGGGGAGTAGCTACCCTGTCAAAGTTCCAAAGTCAAATGCAAAAATGATTTACTAAAATAGGATCCAAGCCAACCGTTTTAAAAAGAATAAAGCAGACTAGAGTAACAAAGGTATTCCTGTAAGATTCAATAAACTTCAGTAACTTTAGGAAGACTTGTTTACTTTAAAACAAGATTAAAAGGCTGCAACAGTATCACATGTAAGATTATTTTCCTATCTTTATTTAAGAGTGTGGTCTCTCAATTTTTAGACCACAACTTTTGATTACATGTTCAGGTTGTGTAATGCTTTCCCCACCGTTTTTCCTCGCTCAAAATGAGGCAGTTGGTATCATCTTGATCAGGTGCACCATGCCTTCAACAAGCTCAAGCATCAAACACATTTTGCAATCAACATATTTTAAGAGTTCTAATAATGTGATTGGAGAAATGACAACATGTTAAAGCATATTTATTAAAAAAAAATTCCCTATTCAACATTAACCAAATACAACATACAACTAATGTGTACATTACAATCAACAAATAGAAAGATGTTCCAATCAAATAACATAAGCTCATTTATAGTTTACAGGTCCAGGTGTAACTGATGTGAATTCCTGGGTATTGAAGGTCCACAGACTGTGACAAAACCAACCATCCTCTCTTTTTCTCCTGCTCAGTGTTTCAGTTAAGGTATGTGCAAACATGTCGTTTGAATTTGCCTCCGGTCGTGACCTCAGGGAGGGATCAGTTTAGCATAGGACCTCCTCCATGCCTTCGGCGCAGTAGACGGCCCCACCCACTAAACACGTACTGAATGGACCGCTCCCAGCCCCACCTTCCAACAGTACAAGTCATTCCATCACAGAGCAAGAGCTGGTGGTTGTTCAATCTGTCTTGCAGGAAAAGATTTAACAGTTATGAAGGAAAGGTAAATATTTCTGGTTACGCCACAGTAAGTGCTAGCTAATGCTAACTGTAGCTATCAGCTGACTCTGCCTCAATCAAGGGTCCAAAGCTTCTGTACTAACGTTAGATATGTAAACATTAAAACACCCTGAGAGCACCAAGCTTCCAGTCTAGCTGTACAGCTAACTGGGAAAACTAGACGGGAGTAGCTACCATTATCAGCAGTTAGTGGCTAAAGTAACTGTTCCATCAGGAAACTCCGTAAAAGGACATCGGATGGAAAACCAAAAAGAATTCTCTCCATAAAATATCATACGGTTTCACCAAAATCAGTGAATAAAGTTATGAAGTTGTTGAGTTTTTATAAGTTTTTTGAACAGTAATCAGTGAGACCTAGTCTCGCATTGTTTTGCTCCAATTAAACCTTTGTAGAAAACAACACTATGAGAGGGGTGAGAATAAACCAAACACTGAACAGCTGAACAATAAGCTGAAACTCACTATAAAGGTCAGTAAAGCTGAGGGAAGCTGCAGATTCAGCTGGAAATTCTTTTATTTGATGCCTTGTTAAATATATTGCTTATAGCCTCTTTAAAAATGTAAGGTACAGAATAAAGTTTCTGCTGCAACCCCATGTGTAAAACAATATATGTTTTCCTTGGAAGATGCAAGTGTTGCATAACCTCTAACTATGTATCCTGTATTTTCTTTTTGTCCTAAGAGGTGCTTTAGTCTTTCAAACTGAGTGTTTCTATGAGCTGGCTTATATAGATGGACTTGGATGACCTGGACATTATTGTGTCCAGATATTTTTGGTCATGACCAGTCCTTCATTTTCTTGATGTTTCCAACAATACAACAATTTGTAACCTTCCAGAAACAGACAATCTGACAATTGTGCCTGCAGACGTGTGAAAGTCTCAAGCTTTGCTTTTTCATTCTTCACACAACTACTCATTTACATATATCAGTTTTAAAGAGGAAATTGGTCACAAAGCCAAAGATAAAATAATGCAAGGATTTAACAACAGATCAAAAAATATGATAGGATTCTTTTAGGCTGCTCTGCTTTATATGAAATGCAGTCACATCTATTTTAATACAGTACACACACACACACACACACACACACACACACACACACACACACACACACACTTTTTAAATATCCCAGGTCTTTTGTTGCTTTTGGCATTTACAGTTCTTTCTTCAAGGTTTTTTGTGTATGCCTTATTTAGGCATTGAGACTGAGATGGGAGACCAAAAACAAATCAAAAAATCAATGGCTATATTACTGTAAGGTATTACTGATTTTATCTTATAGAGGATTTAAGGGGGAATTCCAAATTCTGAAGGGGTTAAATCAAAGTCTGGTTACTTCACAATAGAGCATTATACAATCCACATAGTATACCAAACAACATTTACAGTAATAGTTATGGGTTTTCATAGCCATACTTCATAGCCATATGAAGGGTGACTGTGTGAGGGACCTAGCCAGCATGTTTGTGTGCACATATCATATTGCTGCTGTCCTCACACATCAAGTCTAAGTGTATCTAATGTCTTTCAAATGAAGCTGACATGTGTCCCAGTTAGCAAATAAGGTAGCATACTATAGCCGCCAAAGCTACAGTTAGATGTCATTAAGCACAATGGAAGACGGCCCACTGCTTCTGCTGGATCTGTCCACTGTAACCGCTGCCAAGAGAGTGTTTAAATACATAAGTGATAGCCTGTCTGTTCTTCCCTTCCTCTTACTCTAAGACTGGAGGTGCTCCCCTCCCCAGCTCCTCAGTGCACCTCTGTCCCCAGGGATGCTGGGAGATAAGTGAGGGAGAGTGGATCTCAGGGTATGTTTCCCCCCAGGGTAGTCAGATCATCCTAACCTCAACAAGTGTCTGCTGGGTCTGAGCAGATTGTCTGTGATGATGTTACCATGACAACTGCAGGAACCACACCACATTAAAAAAGATATTGTACAGACAAATAATAACACCACCGTCAAAGTTGGACACATAATAAATATGATTAATATGATTAATCTTCCTAAATGTTTTTCCTCTCGGGAACTTTCCACCAACTCCTGAGAAAATGCTCCACTACGTTCACCACGTAGTCTAGGTTCTGGGCTGGGCAGGTAGTGTACAGTGGGTTTATCAGAGCTTTTTCACTAGAAACAGCTGGCTGCTGCTGCTGGAAACCAAATTGATTAGAGTGCTGAGACTGAACCAAAGGGTGGATGTGCTGTAAAACCAAGCTAAAAGAGGCCAAAAAGCTGCAGGTATAAACTGATTAAAAATAACAGTAAAAATATAGATTTTCACTATAAAAGTTTTTAATTCTGTTACATTTAAGCAAAGCAAAAAAGGGATGTGACTGTTTTAGATTTTCACATCAACGCACCTGTCCATAAGACCATTGACTTGTAGTCATGCAAAATGTATGGTCTCTCTCTCTCTCTCACTGAATGTTACCACTCAGCACCCATTAACTAACTGCACTTCAGTTGGTCAACCAGCCAATGTTAGCATAACATGGCCAGAGTAGTTTCTGGTTTCTTGATGTGGTCGCACTGTCTTGTATTGATGACTTGTAAAAACAGTGATCACATAGAAATTGTTGTCATGGTTATCATCTATAATAAAAAGTTGATTTTGGTCACAAATCAAACTGAAAAGTTTGAGGTGCTGTAGAATGGATGTGTTGTGATTTTGCGAGATGGAAGAGTGCACATGAAAGTGTTGTTGCAGTTGTCTTTGCAGTGCTGTTGTTCCAGGAAGACTGTGGAAATCCAGTACTTAGTCTCATCCCTGCCTTCCTGTCACAGCACACCTAACGACACGTCAAAGATGTTGGAAATTGTCCTCAAACTTTCTCTGAACCCTTTCTGTAAGACTTTCTGTAATTGTTCAACTTTCAGAATGAACATTGAAAGTGGGTTTTCAGTCACACAGTGTGGAAACATTTAAGCGTTCATGAATAATATACAGTATACTGAAAGGCACATAAACTGGATGAATGTGTCCAGCTCCAGCTGTCGGCTGTGTGCATTTGCTTGAATGTTTAATCCCATGTTATATATGTCAAAGTGTTCTTGACAGAGACAAATACATTGGCATTTTGGGAGCAACCCTAAAATGAATTTAAATGCATTAAATGTAATGTTATGTACTGATATTCAGTCAATTACAATATGCAACTTATCACATGTAAAAAAAAAAATAGCTTTCTTACAGCTTGCATGGAATTATGGAACTAAATGACTGTTCACAGTGTGATCACTATTTCACTTTTTATTTTGGCCAACTGGGGGCAGCAGAACAAGCTGTAAAAACGCATTGACATGTTATCGCTGTATGAAGTTGATATGGATAAGGTATCAGTAAACAAATCTCGCAGATACAGACTAACATTAATATTAATTTGAAGATGTGTTTGTGGTTACTACCACTGGTCTGGTATCCAACAAACGCTCACCAGCTAGTCTCTGTGTATGTCTGCTGTGTGGTGTTGGAAATGAGGATGATAAGAGCAGTGAGACTGAACCAAACAGGGCCATAAAACCAAAACACTGAGCAGCTGAAACACTCCTTACAGAAACTGCAGCGTTTACTTGGCAAGGCTGATATATTTTCCAGCTTCACTAGAGCTAGTTATTTGGAAATAATGCGCACCCTCCAGCTAAACAGAACCACATGTTCTCATGTCAGTTATATAAATATAACCATCCCATTCCTGAAATATTAGCACCCCTGGTGATGCTGAGTAAAAATGTGACAAAAAGAAAAAATGACAAGTAAGGACAGGGAGGGGTACAACTGTATCTGATTACATGCCTTATTTTTGTACTTAGGCACTAAGATGACACAGCACAAACATTTATCAGTCATCAGTCATCTGACACGGCTTTGTGACTCTACTCCTGAGCATGGGTCTGACACTGCTCAGCGTTGATATGACAGTGTGCTTCTCGTATGGATTACATGTTGCATTTTCTCCATAGTATCATTCTGTGATTTAGCAGAGACTGCGGTCAGTCTCAGTGGAACTAAACCGCAGTGTAGGTATGAATGAATCATAGGTAGTATAAGTAGCACATGTGTACATTATCTCACATTATCATCACAGAGTATGGTCTAGACCTGCTCTTTTATGAGCGCTCTGAGATAACTGTTGCGTTTTTCACCCGCAATTCCGTTTTCACAGCAGCAGAGGAGCCGTGTGGAGCAGGCTTGTTGTTAATTACCGATAGAGCCCACCGTGATATGAATGACGTCGTCACCAACAGCTGTATTCACTGTTGCTTTACCTGGTCCATGCTTTACAATATCCATCGTTGTCTTCTAACGTGATACAAGAACGCGTCTCTTTCTGTGTGTTTCTCTGCAGATGTAGTGAGCGTTGCGTCTTCTTCACTGGTAAATAACTTCCACACACCTAAGATGTGTTTTAGTCTGTGTGTGTGTGTGGCTGGGACATGAGGTTACTGTCTGTGCACACATGTGAAACAAGGCGCAGCCTGTTTGTAACGTCCAGTGTCACCGGCAGAAAATTGGATATTTGACACTGCTGGGCCCTGGTCACTGGTCGGAGCAGAGTAAGCAAGGCAAGGCAAGGCAAGTTTATTTGTATAGCACAATTTAACAACAAGGTCATTCAAAGTGCTTTACATAAAACATAAAAGCAACAGGGAAATATGTAAAAGTTTAAAAGCAACATAAAATATAATAAAAGTTACAGTGTTACAATCAGGGTTAAAAGAGTTAAATGGAAAATAATAAAAAGCTAAAAACAAAGAAAAAGAAAACAGGACAGTAAAAGTTACAGTGCAGTGTAAGTTATCAATAAAAAGAAAAATCTTAAATATTTAATTAATGCAATGGTAAAAAGAAAGTCTTCAGTCTTAATTTAAAAGAACGGACTGTTTCAGCAGACCTGTAGTTAGCATAATAACTGAACGCTGCTTCTCCTTGTTTAGTTTTGACTCTGGGGACAGAAAGCAAACCTGCCCCAGACGACCTGAGAGGTCTGGATGGTTCAACGAAGCAGAAGATCGGAAATGTATTTTGTCCCTAAACCATTTAGTGCTTTATAAACTAACAGCAGGATTTTGAAATCAATTCTTTGACATACAGGAAGCCAATGTAAAGACCTCAGAACTGGAGTGATGTGATCCACCTTTTTGGTCTTAGTGAGGACTCGAGCAGCAGCGTTCTGAATCAGCTGCAGCTGTCTGATGGATTTCTTAGGGATGCATGGATAAGCTTTTCCAGGTCCTGCTGAGACATAAGTCCTTTAATCCTTGATATATTGATGATAGTAGTGATAGTAGGCTGACTTTGTAATTGTGTTAATATGGCTCCTCAAATTCAGGTCTGAGTCCATGACTACACCAAAATTTCTGGCTTGATTTGTGGTTCTTAACATTACAGATTGAAGTCGAGCACTGACTTTCAATCGTTCCTCCCTGGCTCCAAAAACAATAACTTCAGTTTTATCCTTGTTTAATTGAAGAAAATTGAAAAAAATCGTTGACCTGCTCAATACAGTTACTCAGCGCCTGTATGGGATCATAGGCCCCTGGTAAAATGGTTATGTAAATCTGTGTGTCATCTGCATAATTATGGTAACATATTTTGTTGTTTTTCATAATCTGAGCCAGTGGAAGCATGTAAATGTTAAACAAAAGAGGTCCCAGAATGGAGCCTTGGGGAACTCCACATGTCATTTTTGTCATCACAGATGTGTGATTACCTATAGACACAAAGTAGTCCCTGTCCTTTAAGTAGGATTCAAGCCAGTTTAGTACTATGCCAGAAAGTCCAACCCAGTTTTCAAGTCTGTCTAGTAATATGTTGTGGTCGACCATGTCGAATGCAGCACTGAGATCCAATAATACTAAGACTGAATTCTGCCACTGTCAGTGTTTAAATGGATGTCATTGAAGACCTTAACAAGAGCTCTCTCAGTGCTGTGGTGTGGTCAAAAACCTGACTGGAAGACATGAAAACAGTTATTTAGTGCCAAGAAAGCACTAAGCTGTTGAAAAACAGCCTTTTCAATGATTTTACTTAAAAATGGGAGATTTGATATGGGCCTATAATTGTCTAGATTGCTCTTTTTTAAAAGTGGCTTAATGATTGCAGTTTTCAGGGCCTGTGGGAAAAAACCTGTGAGGAGAGACATGTTGACAATTTGTAGTAGATCTGAGGCCATGCATTTAGACACATTTTTGAAAAAAACTGTTGGCAGAATATCAAGGCAGCATGAGGAGGATTTCAGATGTTGTATTATGTCCTCCAGGTTTTTATGGTTAATAGAATCAAATTGTCTCATGCTATATGAATTGTTTTTAAGTGGACACAGGGACAAGACATATCCTGTTACTGACATGGAAGCACTGATTGCTTGTCTAATTGTTTGAATTTTGTCTGTGAAAATAAACGGCCTATTTCAGTCCCCAGCTGATCAATCATAGAAAAATAATTGGTTATCATAACTTTTTGTCATGATTAATTTATTAATGACTCATCATCATCTGTATTAAAGACAAAAGAATCATCTTGTTTAAAGTGCATACAACAAGCTCCTCATTGCACTCTGTGTATGGTGCAGAAGCTATAGAGAGAGGCAAGTTATTGATGCAACAAGCTGTATCCAACAGCTGTAACAGTTGGCTGAACAAACCTATTTGTTGCATACTGTTACATACCCAGTGTGTAAAAAAACACATTTGTTAGGGTTAGGGTTACACTCACACACATACACGCTACGCCTACACATGCGCACAGATGACCCAGGGTTAGGGTTACAATTTTGGATTTATTCACACACTTTAAAAACATTTATTGAAAGTTTTATTCTTTTTACATATTGGGTGGAGCTCCTGAATAATGTGTTTCTCATAATTGTAGGTGTGTTGAAGTAAGTAAGTAAGTATTGGTGTGAGTGTATTAAATAAAAACCATAAGTAATAATGTTGAGCAAGTGGGAAAGCTTTAATGAACAATGTTGAAATGCAGATTCATAGGTGTCATATGACCACACAACCTCTTTAACATCATTTAACTTCAACATGTTCCCAGTCAAACTCACACACGCTACCAAGATCATTGGTCTCCCCACACCAACCCAATACAAATGCACAAGACATCACCCACTCAATTCCCACATCACTGTACTATTTTCTGGGAACAGGTACAAGTCCCTGAGGTGCAGAAAGGCTCGCTGGCCTGGGTACCAGGTACTAAACTCGCTATGATTCTCGTTTTCATGTTTTTGTCTGTTGCTTTGTGCTGTTGTGTTGTGCTTCATGTATTCTGTCTGTCACTGGTGTGTGGTGATGTGTGTCTTCACTGTGATGTACAGTGCTGTGAAAGACAATGTTCAGGCGGGGACAGTAAAGTCTAACTAAGTAACATCAGCTGTCTTGTCTCGTCACAGGCGTCACTCTATGATTGTGTGAGGTCGTAGCCGATCAGCAGCAGTGTCAGGACCAGAGGAGAGTGTACCAGTAGGAAGACCATGGACCTTAGATTCAGAAGGCTGTTGCTTCTCACCAGGGCAGCTCTTCATCTCCTGCTGCTGGCCAGACTGGTGCTGCCTTCTCATTCAGAAAGTGAGTACTAATATTATCCACACAGCTCAGAGCTCTGCCCACATGTTAACAGTTTTACAGACCGGTAAGATACATTAGCTGCTATAGAGTCAGAAGAGATTTACACATGGTAGCTCCGCTTTAATCTTGAGAAGCTGCAGAGCTGCAGTCTCTATTCATTCACTTACACTATAAATTTCCAGCTAAACTGAGGCTTAATGTTGACCCTTTTCTCTCTGCTTGCCTGCCAGTGAGTGTCATGAGTTGTAGTTTTTCCCTGTGAGTTTGAGTTTTTGCCATTTGTTTCTGGTGTCCTTCTTTTTACCTGTTCTTCTCGTTTCTTTGTCCTTAGTGTTTATGTCTTGTCTGGTGTTCTAGCTCGTAGTCCTGTGTTGATTTGATATTGCTTTGGTTTGGTAGTCTAGTTGTTATATTGTTTCTTAGTCACTGCCTTAAATCTTGTTCCTGCGTTTTAGTTCTTTGTCCTTGTTCCCAGTCCTGTACCTTAGTTCATGTTAAGTGTTCACTCTGGTCTGTTTTGTGTTCAGTGACCTGTGTTCCGTCTGTTCCCTCGGTTGTCACTCTGCCTGCATGTCAGTCTCTCGGTTTCCCTCTGCTTACTGTGTCTCTCTCTCTCTCTCTCTGCCTGCCTCGTTAGTCTCATGTCTGTCACCTGTGTTGCCCCCGCCCTGCTCCTTAGTCCCTGTGTGTATATACCTGGTGTTTCTGTCTTGTCCTTGTCGGGTCATTGTTTATTGTCACCCAGTATTACAGTGTGTTACCTTGTTGCCAGCCTACTCGTCGTGTCTCCCTGTTTCCCTGCTTATTTTGGATTTTGGATTCTGGTTTTCTCATTTGGATTACTTTGTTTTGGACTCTGTCATCAGCCACTCAGTTTGTAAGTGTGCTCGCCTTTGTTTGTTTATTAAAACCCCTTGAACTGTACCTCCTTTGCCTTGCATCCTGCATTTGGGTCCTCCAACCTGCTCAACCCTGCCTTCACCACCATTCCGTGACAGTGAGTGTGCAGAGTTTTGCGTGCATACCGTGCTGCCGACCGATTGCGGTTCCTCGTGGGTCTATTTCATGTACTATTTAAAAAAGATGTAATATTCTTTGTGTTCATAAATGGTGATAATTGATCCCAACGTCCTGTGAGGTACGAACAACTCTGCACAACAATTGTGAAGTTAAGGCTCTCTACATCTCTACAGCAAGTTCATCTTCTGCCACTACACACTCACACATACATGCTACGCCTACACATGTGCACAGACGACCCAGGGTTAGGGTTACAATTTTGGATTTATTCACACACTTTAAAAACATTTATTCAAAGTTTTATTCTTTTTACATGTTTACTTACAGCATTAAACATTGAAATGTATATTGTAAAGGGAGTATATTAACTTATTGGGAGAAAACTGGTAGTTCTATGTAAAATCAGATGTTGAGCACCCCCATATAGCCAAAATGGCATGATCCTTGTTTTTTCTGCGAAGCTTTGACTGTGAGATTGACAGTCGAAAAGATCTGTATTTAAAACAAAGAGCAAACCAAATTCTGAAAACCCCCTCATAAAAACAGCTGTTTTAGGGCCCATGTCCATCAAAGCGTTTTTTCTGATGCCAGCGTCTTTTTTCAATTCATTGCATTGGGAATGGCGCGTTTTTCCAAGCTGGTTAAAGGAGCGTGACGAGACGCTGGGCGTCTTTTCCGCACTGGGTGCTGAGCGTTTTACCCAGCTGTCCAATCACAGTGCAGGAGGGGCGGGACAAACAGCGCACCGCGCACATCCGATCTTCAACAAAATGATGTGTTTCCTCGCACGCAAAATCTCACGAACCCACGTACGGACAGTCTGTGCTCTCATGTTTCAGCCTTCTCTTCATGCAGAGCAAGAGCCAGAGCAAATAGGCCTACGTACTTTGTGGTGACATTTTTACATTCAGTAAAATTAAGTAGGCTACCCTACTTGCAGCACATCGCCTCCACGGAAATGATGTATCATAGCAACCACAGCATCTCGGAAAAAAAACACTGCTCCTCCAAAACGCACCCTAGCGCTCCCAGCCTAGGGTTTTTCAGAAGAGCAGGTGGCGTTTTCAGCTGGCAAAAAAGGCTTTGGTGGACACGGGCCCTAATGCTGCACTCAACATTCTACCACGCCCGGTTACTTAGCAACGGCCATTGTTTAGACGTCTTTTGATAAACAGGCTGCCATATCACAAGCTGGAGCTATATAGGAGATAGATATGTCGATGAATATCCAAGAAGTTCTGGAAGTGACATGAAGGAGAATCAGATGAGGAGAGATAATAGTGGAGTGTGTAAGTCACTGTGTGTGTGTGTGAGAGAGAGAGAGATGCTCCTTTTCTTTATTCTAATTGCGTAGGCTAACTGAAACATCATGTTATACATATTGCAATGCATTTGAGAAGTCTACAATTTTTCAACCCGCCAAAGTGGTTAACAGGAACAACTGTGTTACCCACCACGGATGTAATCCGCCTGCATTTGGCAGGTGTTAATGTCAAGCCCTGGCTGTTAATGTTTTACATGGAAACAGTTTACTTCAGTATATTATTTTTGCATCAGTTTTCTGATCAAATGCTGTATTCTGATTAAACAACACAAAGAGCATTTGTAATTCCTCTGCCTCTCACACTTGATCTGAGTAGCTCTACAGCAGACCCATTCACAGACAACAAAAATCCATTGTCACCCAATCTTTCCATTGTACTATTACATAATGGGAAGATTAAATAAAAAATCACATTGACATTAAAATCCAGTCCTACCACTCCATTGTCTAGACAGGGATAGTACATTTTGGGGGAAAAAAATTGCACTTCAAAAACATTTACTGAAAGTTCTATTCTTTTTACATGTTTATTTACAGCATTAAATGTTGAAATGTATGTTGTAATAGGCTGTATATTAACTTATTGGGAGAAAACTGGTAGTTCTATGTAAAATCAGACGCTGAGCACCCCCATAAAGCCAAAATGGCATGATCCTTGTTTCTCTGCAAAGCTTTGACTTTGAGATTGGCAGTCGAATTAGGCTCCGCCCATCGAAGCATCGAATCTTTGACTATTCGGGGTCAGCCCTAATTTTTATTAAAACTCCATGCCGGAGATAGCCGTGGCTGGAGCCATTATGTTTTGGGGTTGTCCATCTGTCTATTCTGGTGAATGTGATATTTCAGGAACGCCTTGAGGGAATTTCTTACATTTTGGCACAAAGGTGCACTTGGACGCAAGAATTACCTGATTAGATTTTAGTGGTCAAAGGTCACTATGACTTCATAACACACGTTTTGGGTACCTGTACCACAACATCTTCATACAACACTCCTAATCACAGCTAAAGGAGATCAGAGATCCCAGGATCTGGCTTCACTTTATTTTAAAAAATATAAAAAAGAAACCTCCAACGCGTCACATAAGTTGGTGGAACTCAGCATGTTGGATCTCTTTTAGCCAGGGGTGTGTTTTTAGGATCTTGAAACATTGGTGGCTTAGCCAAGCCCATAAAACATCATATCTTCACATAATAATTGACTCCCCCCACCCCAAAGTTAAGTCTGTAAAGCAGTAAAGCAACAGTAAACATCCTATACTTATACTGCACAACAAAACTCACAACAACACTATTAACTATTTTGATGTCATGTGTGTAATTATAATAATAATTTAACAACAAAACTGCAACAGTATGAACAGGAGGGTCTGGGGGTACTCCTCCAGAAAACTGTGTGTTAAATACTTAATTTCCTGCATTCTGGTGTTTTTCTCCACCAATTTCTGCCTTTTCTGCATCAATTTATTGTGGAAATTATTCATGTAAAGGGACACACAAAATTCAGATGTTGCTGAATTGTGGCAAATATTTAAGAACATTATAATGTTTTATGACCTGATTATTTATTTCCATCTTAAATGTGAAATTGTACTACTGCCTGCCTTGGCCAGGACATTCTTGGACAAAGAGTGTTTGGTTTAATAAAGGTATAATAAAACAATTTAAAATCTAAAACTGTAACAGAATATAATGCACAGCAGCTCTCAGCTTTCAGATATGTTTCTCCTATAGATCAACTTTTAATATTATCACTGCTCATCAACACACGCAGACGTGACTGATAAGGTAACCTCTTTAAATGCATGTGGCACCTTTTTACCTCATCAATAATAAATGAAATCATTTTACTAACTCCTGGACTTTAATAGCTCCTGTGTTTTAGCAGGTTTTCTGCTCATGGTCATTCAGAATCTAACTGGGTTCTCTGACATTTTCAGAATAAAGGATATTTTGAGAGGTCAAACAGGATAAATCATAATAAACTTTGCAATCAATCCGCGGTCCACCTGCGTGCCACACCGTGTGGAAGGGATCCATACCACGGATTCTGCAACCCATTGCACCACTACTATCCATGGTAGTGTGGGGATTTAATTCTTGCATGTTTTGTTGTGCAGGATCACAGCCCCTATGTGTCCACATGAGGAAAGGTGAAGATAGTCTATCAGAGTAAAAATGATGATCTATTGCATTAGACTAGGCAACTTGATGAGTTTATTTTTTTGAGTAGCCCATTAAAATATTCCTGCAAATGCAGTGAAGACGCTGATTATCTGTAATTTAGCTATTTCTACAATTATTTTCCTTTTTAAATCTCCATGAAGGTGTTTATAAGATCACTTTAAAATATCACTTTGGCTGCCCAGCCAACTTTTGTTACCTGTGCCTTTTATTATGGAGATGGAGCCAACCAAACCGCTTGCTTTGCAGTAGTGCAGGCTGCCAATACAATGTGATTATTCATGAAGCATCTAAATAATCTTCACAATGCAAAGAATTATTGTGGCAGTAACACGAGAGCAGCTCGTTGTTGAAGCAGGTAAACCTGCACACAGAGGAAGCTGTGCGTCATGCGTAAAACCCAACAGAAATATTTTATCCACCCATATTTTCTCTCTCTCTCTCTCTCTCTTGCCGACTTGTTAAAGAGCGAC